GAAAAGAATCGAAGGGAACGGTTGTACGGTATTTCATAACTTCGTTCTTCGAGTAAACGTGTCGATACGATAGATAGTTCAACATGCCAACATACAGCTAATTTGCATCGGAATTAACTTGTGATATTACCCTGCAAGTGATGTAATATCCACGGGTTTATTTTTCGAAAGAAGTGTTAAAGCATTTCGCCGTAGCGCCGAGTCACCGGGCGCACGCCGGGTTTGTTTACGTTTTTTCACGTACGGCCCAGCCGGCCGGCGCGCCGCGTCGCGCCCTCACGCTACGCCGTTACGCAAGGTCACCGCGCTCTCAGTTGGCAGTCCTTCTCGCGACACTCGAGTGGGAAAGTGGTGTTGTGCGGACCGCTATACGGATATTTCGTCGCAACATTATACGCCACCGATATTACCGAGCACGATATTATCTTAGCGCGTTTATCGTCACGAGTGATCGGATAACCCGCGATTAACGTCTCGCGAGTGTCTCGTGTCGCGCCGAACCGCTACTTGCACGACTATAGCTCTTAATTACCGCATCGTCGCCATCATTGATCTTCGAATGAAACTCGCGTGGTGCTTTCAAATTTCGCTGCATTCTGTCCATTTCCGAACTTCGAGAGTATCTTGGAGCGCACGCGCGAATTGTTGGTCGTACAGTTTGTGTAATGGAAAGCCGTCAGATATCGTTTATTAATAATGTCTCGTTTGTTCTCGCGAGATTGCTTCGCGTACCGTCGTGTCGCGTGGTACGTCGCGTACCTACGTTGACCAAAACCTGCACCACGGGATTATAATTAATGTTTGCGCGAGTGTTGTGTGCGTGCCTGCTATGCACGAGGAAGTGGAGGTGCCTGGGAGGAGGCATCAGGAGGAGCAACCATGGGTATGGTATTTCATTATATTATTTATTATTCGCCGGATTAATCGAGACATTTTCCTTTTTATTTGCACGAATTAAAAATACAAAAGAATTTAAGATTTTTTATTTAAAGTTTCTGTAAAGATTCGCATTTACAAAGAAAACGTTCTCCATCGAAAATTTTATGATTTTATTAAACTGAAAATTGGGAACACAGAAATAGAGAATTTAGTGTATGTAATGATTAATATTTTTTAAAATATTAATTATTGTGGATTATTGTGCTACTGTGTAATGTGTGAATTTTATGTCTGTTGCAGATCAGCATAGCCACAACATAGTTAACTCCGCTGTGTCGCATCGCATTAGTGAGTGAATATATATATATTTTTTATTTCAATGCATAAGATAATAGATCTGTGAATGCCGATAAATATATATCATCTCGCAGATCCATTGTCTTGAAATGGATAGATTCTTGGAACAGATATAGAAGATCGTTTCTGTTGTGGCTAATTTTTTTCGATTTACGATAGAATTTTTTATTCTAACCTATTCATCATTGTCAGTGTCAAATTTTCCGATTTATTTTGACCATCTACGTGACGAAAATGCAATCGCGTTCGCGTCGTTGAACAAACTGCATGTCGGTCTATCGTTCTATCGTATAAGACGAACTTGCGAGATTTATTTCGCCGAAAGAGGAATGGGGATAGGTACGATATTGGTGCCTCGGGTCATAGAGGATGAACCTCTTTTATGGAACGCGCGCTGGTCGGACACACGGTGGCGGTAGAAAAAGAGAATAGGAGGTGATTGCATTTCACTTTATGATCAAAGTGAATCTCTGTGATCTCCCGTGCTCGCTCGTTTTCGTTGTGAACCGAAAAGTAACCGTGTTCCTTGTTCGCGATTAATTGTAACCGGAGCTGCTTTTTTTTTTTTTTTTTTTTTGCGGAGAACGGAAAAGACGAGTTCTCGGAACGTTTGAAATATACTGGTTAAAAAGGATTTGTAATACGCATCCAGCGACTATTTTAATTGTAAAACCTTGAGTCTTAAAAATTCCATTACTTTTATCCTGCTTTTCGTTTTATTTTATGTCGCCGATACCTTAATTGATTCAGAATTATATAAGATTCTCTCTGGAACCACTTGAGGTTGCAAAAAGGGCTCGAGCGAAGACGGTAAAAAGGAGAGACTACTAATCTTCTTTCGTAGGGAAAACCTCTGCGAGAGAGGGAGAGCGGTGCGTTGGCGCAGACCGGGCTTTCGATTAAGCCATTCAGTCGGTGCGATATATACCGTGTTAATATAGTGCATCTCGTCTAGACGGCAACGGCCGTTCTAGCCGGGCGAAAAGTTGCCTCATCATGCTGCGAATTCCTGCGGGAAGAATTGGGTGGGAACGGAGATGAATGAGTTCGAAAAAGGTATAATCCGTGCCGCAGCTGCCTCGGTGGCCTCTTATACCTGGAAATTAAAAGAGGAAGAAAAAGAAATAATCGGGGATGACAAACGGAGCGAAATACGCGGAAAGTGCTCCGCACTTCATTTTCTAAAAATGGAGATTTGAAGCTAAAATCTGATCTCACTTTATTTTCTAAAAATGGAGATTTGAAGCTAAAATCTGATCTCACTCCATTTTCTAGAAATGGAGACTCGAAGCCAAAATCTGATCTATTTAATTAACTCGAAAAGGATTAAGCACATTTTCCCCACGTTTCCTCTTTCGCGAGAGATATCCCCTTTCGAGAGGACTCCGCGTCAATTCTACAAATGTTATAGGTCTACGCGTCGAACATTTAGACCGCGCGCGTTCGCCCGCTCCGTTTCACCCCGACGACGCGCTGCACCGCGTCGTCCCTTAATAACCTGGTTTAATTAAACTCAAAGCGCGCGCGTCGCTTCGATGTTCAATAACCGGCAGCGCGGTGCAACCACCTCAGAAACTGGTGCAAACTCACTCAGGAGCCGCGACGTTATCGGGACTCCGCTCGCGCGGAGCGGGACGAGGGCGGGGACGTCGCACAATACGACGTATTCAGCGCGGGCCCGCGTGCGGTGTCAGTGGCATCAACGTTGTTATACATATAGCTTACAACAGTCACGGTGCATCGAGGTATATCGTGCGATTCTCAGTCAATAACTGCGCCTATAATGGAGGCGACAATTCCGCGCGTGATGAAGCCGTGGACGCGCGTCCTCGTGCCGTGTCGCGCTGAAATACATTATACTTTGCCGCTCTCCGACAAGTTGGCTCGTGCTACAATTATCGTGTATATTGCGTGTGAGTGAAAAACACTTGCCCTGGCAGATTGAACGATCGCCGTCGACGGTGGTCCATCTCACTTTCCGGCGGGAGGGGCGGGGGGGGGGAGGGGAAGCTGGAGAGAATTTATTTTAAAAGTTGGGAAGAGAGAGATTAACTCACTCTCTTTCTCCCCCCGAGAAGAACTCCAGAAGAGTACTCGTGCCTCCCTTTTGCCATCGATCAGATTGCTTCTCTCCACATTCGACATCGAAATAGAAACGTCACTCGTGATTGTCGTTTTTCAAAGCCGCGAGTGGTTCTTTTAAAAGAAAAAAAAAAAAATAACGCGGAATTCCCCGCGGCGTATAAGAGTGTATTGCGATTATGAAATTTTCGAGGATCAACGCTTAATCTGCAGCCGCTCGGTATACCAGAATAGTTGAATGAGCGATGAACGCCGCCGGGATCGGAGCACACTCGATAATCTCGCGGAGAAGGCTTCTGCCGATGCGAACGCCGCGGTGCACGAGGACAATGCATGCGTGCGTGCGTGCACGCAGCCGGCGTCAGGGAGCGCATATGCGCGCGTTGCATTTCCTACTATAGAGCGAATATACCCGGCGCGACAACAAAATTAGCGCTTCCATATCGCCCGTCCGCCGCAATATCCATCGGGCCATTATCCGCCGGGTCGGACGATAGTAATAGACATAATAACTGTCCATTAGCTCGGCGACGTCGGTATGTAACGCGATTGGATGAAGTATCGTCGCCGTTAATCGAGTTATGAAATTTGCGTAAATTGAATCGACGACCGATGGCATCGGTCTAGCTAGTTAAAATCCCTGTGGACTTCTGGACAATTTTTAGAGAAAGACTTGAAAACTGATAAATCAGATTAAAATTAGAAAGTGATGATTTGTTCGTACAGTTGCAATCCAATATATTTTTCGATACGTCTTTTCTTAAATTTTTCAAGTTTGAACGTCTAAAAAATATTTTCTTAATAATTTTTGTTTACATATTTTGATGTGCCGGTTTTTCACTAATAAAATTTTTTTAAATTTAATTAATATATAGTTAATATAAATACATATAAACTATGTATTAATTAAATTATATATACTTTAATTTAATGTATATATACATATAATATAAAATATATAAATATATATATATATTATAAAATATATATTTTTTATATTATATATATAATATAAAATAATGTTTTTCTATCAAACTTAATCATTGTTGTGATAAAGTGAGATATTTCTTTTTTTGAAAACATGATCGATATGCGCTGTCCCAGCTCGCGTGCCCGTTAAATGATCGATGTCCACCCATCAACACAGTCTGGACAGAATAACTCTGTTTTTCTATTCCACATGTAGGGTGGAGTAATACCCCGTGTCTACACGCCCTCGTATTTTACTCAGTTTTCTCTCGACTGCGTAGCGAAAAAATATATTATATAACGAACAGTGTGCCATTAATTTTCAGAGTGTATAACGCTACCCTATCGATCATTATTATTGCCATATTAAAAAAACAATTCGCTTAAATAAATTTCAAAGAGATATAATCTGGGTTTTAATAATTCTCTCATGTAAGTCGATTATTTCATAAGAGATGGAAATATCTTCATTTAAATATTAAAAAATATAAAATTTTTATATCGAAATTTGCTCGTATGAAAATAGCTCGTATATTGAGGTTGCGAAAACGTTAGTTTCGTCAGTTTTAATTATTCAAAAATCCGCGTAAGGAAGCAAATTTAAATCGACAAGCAGAGATTTGCGAGAAACACGATCCTTTTAGCGCGCGGTTTTATCCTCGAGAAAAGTGTCATAATGACGCAGGTGTGAGACTTCTATTCACGTTCCGTACCTCATTAGTCGGTTTCAGAAAAATCCTCGAAACAGCTGGAATTTGCCATGAAAAGGGAGGGATGAGTCTTGCATAACGTGCGTGATTGATTTCTACTGACGTAAATAGGTTAACGTGCTCCCGTGATTCTGGATATTATATAATATATTATTTGATTAATAATATATCTTTTTATATGCTAACATGAAAATCGTTTATTAAATTATATAATTATGACTGATTAACACATACACGCGAGACCGACATCACACACAAGCAAGCCGAAACCGTGAGAATATTGTGAGAATATCGTGGATGCCTTGAAAATATTTATAATATTCTGAAATATGAGATATCGATTGCTTTTGTTATTGTCGGAAACGGAAATCACTTGCGGTTAAAATACCTTTATACATTTATTACTGTTTAAGTGCGGAAAAAGAATCTCGTTCGTATCTGGTTTAAGCGAGAATGTAATATACACATGATGAGTTAGATATGTCATTGTACTAATGCGCGGATTAACCAGTTGCGACCACTTATGCAGTGAAGGGTTAACGAACATGATGTATACCGACATCGGTAAATTTGGTCGACTCCGCACCCTCCTAGATTGCTTTGCCCCGCGATTAGGGCATCGTATCCTCTCGCATTGCCATCCTCTTTGTCCGATCACCGCGCGAGCCGGATCAGCCTCGATGTGCGCGTGCGGTGCTCTGACCCGCGCCTTTTAATCACGATGAGTGAAAAAGTACGGCAGTATAGGTACGCGAGCCGAGAAATCAATTAACACGGCAGAATATAATTAGGTTTTCCGTCGTTTGACGTAGATATATAGGAGAGGCGCGCGCGGATGCTAATAACACTAATTGTACCGGCGTGACTGGTGCTTCATTAATTAAAAAGCTTGCCCGGCCGGGCGACAAAGGTGAAGATATTTTTAAGCGTCGTCCCCGTGACGCGAAAATACGTAGGTACGTCGAGCGATGTTTATACACTTTTATGAATATTTCTGCGAACTCGTTTCGCGGAAGACTTAATTTCACGATAGGATGACGAATTACGAATTACTTTATAACCCTTCGGTTATTTTATCGTGTGGTTTTAAGCGTGATATTGCGTGTCTATTGCGAACAACTTCTTTCCCTTCGTGCAGATGTGAACGTTTGGCCTTTAAAAAAATTACCCCCCTTGCGATATTTTCAATCAGTTCTCCGAATTGACGAATTGAAAGAATTTCCACTGTACGATTAGAGATTGAAGGCTTCTGTATATACGAATTGAAAGGAATCGGAGGTGATACGGAAGGAAGAAGAAACTAAGCGCTAAGATTGCGCGCGAACGTGTTACTGAAAAAATACCATCGTTTATTCTCTATTAAAATTATAATCCTTACGTCTATTAGCGAATTAAACTGCAAACGGGCTGCTCTCGTCAGCCGAAGAAGGCGTCGTCACCGGTGCCGTCGGGCGTGCAGTTCTGCAGCAACGACCCCGGATTCGACATGTCGCCGACGACGTCGCCGCCGACGACGCCGTTGCCGCCGTTACCGGCGCGCGGGGGTTTCACATCCTGGCCCTGCGTGGAAGCGTCGTAGACTCCGCGGCTCGCGGTCTGCTGCTGTTGGTGCTGTTGATGCTGCTGCTGATTCTGCGAGTTGATCTCGTTGTAGACCAATTCCTGGATCTTGAGACGCACGAACATCTGCCTGTCGAGCGGCAGGCTTCTCAGGGGATTTCTCACGCTCATGAGGAAGTGGTAGGTGTCGTCCTCGTCCTCGGGGCCGATCGCCAGTCTCTTCTGCAGCGACTCGTACCGCTTACGATCCACCTCCACGCCGTAGTCGTTGTCGATCGCGTCCATCAGCGCCCGCTTCCGGCCAATTATCTTATTCATCTTCGGCGGCGGCATCACCTGGTGCAGGCCGTCGTCGTTGGACAGCAACGACTGGCAGGAGTCGCCGTCCAGGTCGTCGAACTGCGTCTCCTCGTGGCCCTCGAGTATGTCGATCTGCGGCTCGATCTGCGTGCCGTCCGGCGACGAGCGCATGCCAACGCAGTTCTGCGACAGGGCGCAGCCGATCACCCTCGAGTTCATTTGGTCCCGCAGGAAGAACAGGCTCTTGAACCAGACCCACTTGGAGTCGTGCTCGGTGCCGCCGATCCCGTCGCACTTACCCCGGTAGGTCTTCTTCAGCTCGTTCCGAAAGTTGTCGCGCAGGTGTTTCCATTTCGACTTGGCGACGTCCGCTGGAACAGAGACCAATGGCGTTTTTACGTAACTTAGAAAGAACAATCGTTGATGTGCTATGCCTACTCTGAAAATTCGAAAGCTTTAGCCGCAAAATAATTTATTTTCCGTCAAAATCTAGCTGCTACTCATTAAAATTTTCTCTAATTTAGAGAATAAAGAGAATCGAATGTATAAATAAAAAAAATTATAAATTTATATCAAATGTATATAATTAAATAAGTTTAAATCGCTACGTTTTCACTCGTAATTAATTAGAATGGCAAGTATTTATTGGCAAAGATTGGCAAAGGATCAATCGAATTCGATTGATTTTCGTAGCTATTTTCATCAGCGTTTAGCATTTAATTGTAATTTGTCTTAATTTACAAAGTGATCTTGCGACTGCAGCGCGCATCTCCGATTCTTCTATTCTTCTATTCTCTTACTCCCTTTCCCTTTCCTCTATATTCCCCTAGAGGAATATTATCCTAGCATTATACTTTCGCTCGCCGTGACGGACGTGTTAGCATTCCGCGCGCACGTGCTACCGCGTGTTACACATGCTCGTGGAAATAAGGAAAAAAAAAGGGAATCCGTGCCAGCCAGTCGCGTGTACCGCGCGGTAACGGCGGAGCAACCTGGCGGAGATCCGCGTGAACTAGCAGCCTATTCCTCCGGCGGCCGCTCCTTTCGCGAGCTATCGACCTTCCGGACGCGCGCGACGCGGCGCGGTTCCAGAGCGAGCGGTCCGCGCTGGTGGCCGGCCCGGCCCGGCTTCGCGATCGCGAGAGACTCTCCCCCGCTCGATTCTTCGCTTTCCTTCTCTCTTCCATTCTTCTTCCTCGATCTCGTTCAGCCTTCGTCTTGATTCCTATTACGCGAGATATCTCGGGGACGACCTCAGGGTCAGCGAGGTTCGTTCGATCATACGTATTATTGTACATACATTGTACGGAGCTGGCGACCAATCGACTCGTATCCAGCGTATCCCACCCACCCATCGTGCGACCAACCAATCTCACCAGCGACCACCCACACGTTGCACGTGCGTGTGGCAACACGTATGTACGTAACGCGTACGTATACGTTGCAGGAACGAGAGAATACGTTCCGCGGGGGAGGTAGAGGAGAGCCCATGATAGCCCGTCGGGCGTCGATCGGAGCCGGGAGAGAGAAAGAGAAAGAGAGAGAAAGACAGATACAGAGACAGACCGGGCTCTCCTTATACTTACTCGACACCTCGCATGCCCTCGCGATCTCCCGCCACATCTTCAGTATGACATCGCGATTGTGATAGTTGACGTTCTTCTGGTCCCAGATCGCGGGCCTCGCGTGCACCTCGTTGATCAGCCGCTGCAGGTCCATCGTCATCGCGCTTCTACGTCCGCCGGCGTTGCATCGCCGTGGCGAGCGCTTGCCGGCGCGTCGATTGAGAAGCGTGACGCCGGCGGTGCCGACGGAGGAGGCGGCCGCACGCGTGCCGCTTCCTCCGACGCGTAGCTGCTGACCCTCCCCGCCGGCCGCGGTGTGCTGCTGCTCGCCGAGAAGGCGGCTCCTCAGTTTATCGACCCGTGCCGCCGTTGGGTCTGTCTCCTCCTCGGTGTCCTCGGTGGCTACGTTTGCGGCGGCGGCAGCGGCGGCGTCGTCGGTGACGGCGTCAGCGTCAGGCTCGAGGTCGACGACGGCGGCGGCGGTGTCGTCGGTGGCGACGTCGACGGCGGTGTTGTCGGCTACAGCGGCGTTGCTACTCGACGTGGGAGCGCCGCGGGAGGTGACCACGACGGGCACGTCGTCGTTGCTCGTAGGGAGCCGCTGACGCTGCCTCCTCTTCTTCCTCTTGCGTCTCGCGACGCGGCAGGTGGTGGCGGCGGCGGTCGAGGAGGTGGTGGAGGTGGTGGTAGTGGCGGCAGCGGTGGCAGTGACAGCGGCAGCGGCGGCGGCGGCGGCGGCGGCGGCGATGCTCGCGGCGGAGCCGAGCCGAGCGGACGAGCGTAAGCGGGACGAATCCAGGGCTATATCCTCGTCGGCTCGTGCGCGCGTGTCGTCCATGCACGCGCGCGGGCCAGTCGGAAAGGACGCGTCGTACACACACGCGACGAAACGAGACGGTGCTAACGAAGATAACAACGATAACGACGACGACGACGACGACGACGACGATGACGACGACGACGACGACGAAGCGTTTGACGCTGACGACGCGCGCCAAGACAATAACGACGTCTCTCGTGTGTGCCTGCTCCCGCGGACCGGGTCGGAGGAAGCGTATACGAGCGAGGAGGAACGGAGCGGGTATATAGTAAAGCGGACAGAACGCGCACGCACGCACACACACGCTCCGGCGATGTGGGCTACTCGCGAGTCGCGCGCGCCGCGACCACCGCGGGGCCTTCGGCTCCGCTCGACCCCAGTGCTCGGCCCCGCTCGGCACCGCTCGGCGCGGCTCGACCCGACTCGATTCGACTCAGCGCGTCTCCGCGCGCGGCTCCGCGCGGCGCGGACAACGCGCTGCCTCGCGCGCGCGAGAGAAAGAGAGAACGCGCGTGGTAAGGGGCAAGGTGGAGAGGAAAGCGGGCTGACGCCGAGCGAGTAAACCACCACCGGCTCGAAAGAGCGAGGCAGGGGCGGAGGTACACGCGAGCCCGAGTATCCCGGAGCGGATAAAACGAAACGGATCGCCGGCTAACGATATTGGAGTAGCGGCTCCACTAATTGAAGTATTCGCGGAATCGAACACGCAGTTCGACAGAAGTGGCCGTAATTACTTTCGTGAATAGCACGAATTGTATGAAAACAGTCAGTAGTCAACCGACAATTCGTCAACCCCCTAACGTTGCAGCTATTTTCTCCCTATAGCTCTTTAGTCTTACAGCTTCCGGAGCAACTTAAATGGAAAGGAATTATTCTCGGAACATCTATTGGCCACAAGATCTCTTTATATCTTAAGAGAGTAGCTTCTTTCTCTCGTTTTATCATTTAACTTTAACGTTACATTTTGGGTCATTTAGAATCTTATAGGATAACATTAAGATAAACCTGCAGACGACAGCTCTGCGTTGCAACTTTGGAACTTGTTATCGATTATCTTTTAAAACCTATACAGATTTAATAGCGTTTCAATACCCGATTGAGCAATATCTTTTCACTTTGAGAACTCCGAAATCTCTCGCTCATCTTTTTTTTCCACGAGGCCAGAGGAAGCTTTCCGCTTCGGACGGACGAGGCGTCCGCGTAAACATCGAAAACGAATGCGCCTTGGCGCTTAATGCGCGTCCGCTACTGAATGGGCGTACAGCTGCAGCCGCGTCACCCGCTGCGAAGCGGCGCATCCGCTCTGCTCGTCGGCTTTATCGCCGGCTCGGCGCGTAGCCGCGCCGCGCCGCGCCGCGCCGCGCCGCGCCGCGCTGCGCCGCGCTGCGCTGCGTCGCGTCGCAACGAAACGAACACGCTCATCGTCAGCTCGTTAAGCTTGTCTCCGCTCGGCTCTGCTCGACCCAGCTCGGCACCACTCGGTCGGCCTCGGGCTCGAGTATGGGCCGTGGCGAGCCGCGAGATGTCCAGCTTCGAGCCCGCAATTCGGCTGGAATCTCTCGGCCGTGATTTCAGGACCGAAGAGGAAAATCGATATACAGAAATGTCAGACTGTCGAGGGAGAAACACTCGCGAAGCGATTATTCAGGCTTACTCCTTAGCAGGAGCTCAAGTTGAAATTTGTGTAAATGTATAAAATATTCCCCTAACAACGTATGTTTCGTAGATGGTATAGATAATGTTGAAGGTACCTCGATACTTCATTTGATAACTAAATTATTGCTGGAACATCATTAATAATTAATATCCCGGCGGTTATTAGCTCGACCATTTATAGGTGTATCGAATACCTATTCCGATCAAACTGTCACGTCCCACGTTTCGGATCAAGTGAGAACGTATTCGTGCGACAACCCGCGGCGTTGCATCTGTGCAAATACGATTAATTTTGTTTATTAATAGGCGTGTACTCGCGCGTCGCGGCCGACTTCGCGAAGTCGCAGGCAGCGGCGGCGCTCCTTTAGCAACCTTGCCCCATACGATCCCGCTTCGTGATTCGCATTTCTATTAATAGTCGCCTCACTCGCGAAGTATTCAAGGATCTGCCGAAGTAAAGGATTTCGCGTAATCACGCGAGAGAGTAGTTGCGAAGCGATCGAGGACTCGTAACATCCGAGAGAAAGAGAGAGAGAGAGAGAGAGACTGAGATATCGAAAATTTATTAAAGAAGAACGTACGATCATAAGTCTGCGAAATCAAGTATATTCATGCAAATTTGTGGAATCAAGGATAACGACGATTTAAAAAAAGAAAAAAAATGTACGTGATGTGTACAACGTGCAGATTTATTTTTATTTAAAAGGCATTTTTCTCGCGAGGCAGACACGTCCCGACGTTCGTTACAATCCGGCGTACCAAAATCAATTTTATTCACGTCATACGAGCGATTCGGAGGAAATTAATTTTCAAGCCGCGAGAGCTCTGGAATTCGAGAAAAATTAATTTCCTCCGAAATCAGCGTTTTCGCAGAAAGGCGAGAAAGAGACAGAGAGAAAGAGCCCATATTCGCGTCGCGTACAATTTGACCGCGCGCTTATCTTCGTCGTATTAAATCCCAACGGTCTCTCGCGCCCGAGCCTTTATCTCCGTTTCGTCGCATTTCCCGGCATTTCTCCATATGCACCCGTCGGCGCGCCGCGTTGCTAATCAGCGCCCAAGTTGAAGTAATATGTCGGCGTGTCTCATATCAGTTTCTGCCTGGTCGGCGAATACAAAGAGACAAAGGAGGAAAAGAGAGAAATCCCCCAGTTAGTTACATCTGCCCTTGTCTCCCTCGCCGCGCGAAACATTTCGGATTAATAATGCCGCGTCAGGCTGACGAGTATACGAAAGTTGAAACGCAGTGTGTGTAGCGCGATTTTAAGATAAAGTTACCTGCCGTTCCCCGAAAGTTATGCTATTTCCAACCAGGCTTGGAAATCTTAAACTAAAAGAGATGGTAATTAAGTTTTTGGTTTTAGGATTGTTCGTTAATTATAATTGATTGGATCTGTGTGGATGGAGATCCTCGATTAATTTAAGTCTTTGGGTCTTTGGGTCACAGTCTGTTTTATTCGAATATATTATACACGAGTATCCATGCGTGTCAGTGTCTCAGCCGAATCGTTACATTTCATCTCACGATCGATAGTCTGACTTGTCTTTCGAGAGCTTGCTTTGTCCCCCCTACCATTGTTTACGTAAATACATTAAAATTTTAAGCCCTAGCAACGTTGCTCTTTCTTTTTCTGCGTATACAACTTACAGTGATCGTTTAAGATTTGTATTTGTATTATAATCCGGCGCGTATAGTATTATATCGTAGGTACATATTAATAATTTGCTCGACAAAAAGATTATGAGGCTGTAACTCAATATAGCGATATTTATGAAATCTTAAGCGTCGTTATGCTCTCGTCATTTCGCCAACAGACCTGTGTGTTTGTCTTTATGTTTTGTCTCACTCTGTTTTTGATTTTTATACTGCACGAACAGCTGAGCGGATCCGCGAACCGTCAGCGTGAATACGTATATCTTTCTTCTTATTCTTTTCGATGTAGATTAAATTTTGCTAATTGCTGAAGCGACGCAATCGCTACAAGTTGTTTAGAAGGATCGAAAACTAGTTTAAAATATTTTTCAAATTTATCTAAAGTGTCAAAGTCAATCCAATTTGAGTTGCCGCATTGCTATTCAATATATATCTTTATTTTTAATTAAAACAATGGAATTAAATAGTTTAAAACAGTTCAAAACTCAACATTGGTTAAATTTAAACTGTTTTAATTCCATTGTTTTATTGTTAGTTAACGATATATAAAATAACGATATATTAAGTAGGAATAGTGGCCACTCAAATTGGATTAAATTTGACACTTCAGATTTTAACAGTGTAGTAATTTCCGACTTAATATCTTGAAGATATATGTACAACAAATCTTATAACTGCAAAGAGTTTATCGTCTGAAACAATCGTTATCGAGTAATGAATGTGGCTAATTGAATTTACTAAATCTTCTCAAAGGATTGTATAATGCCGAGACAATTGAGAAATCGGCTTTCGGATCAGCTTCCGGTAAATCTGTCGACAAACGCGACGAGTCAGCCTCGCCGAGGTTGCATCAGGGCTATCTGCGCGACGCGGTAGCGGGCAGTTTGTAATCCTTCGGCATGCAGGTATCACGATCAATAATAGGCAGGGATGTTGAATGCTAGGTGCGCGTTGTAGATGGACAATAGGGCTTTCTCTCGGTTCTCTCTACACTGAGTATCTGATCCAGTATGTGAGGCACAAGCCGGATAGGTATGCCTCGGCATCATCGTGGATAATGCAAGCACGCGATTCCGTCGTGAATCGCGCGATTCGTCCTCTCGCGACAGCTGAGATATTGCGGACTGCCTCGAGTCGGAGCTAAATGGAACCATGTAAGAATGGCGTGTCTCAATGTGCATACGTCATGCGAGTTCATACAATTTATGCGATAAGTCAAATTTACATGACAATTGCATAAAAACATTGTATCATTTTATTGCAAAAAAGAAAAATCACGCGTGAATTAAAAATTAAATTCAGATGAAATAGTTTAACGCAAAATAGAGGTATACTTCCTCCATTAGCCGTGAACGTTATGTAAATTTGCATTTGTAAAGGCTGCTTTAATAACACAGATGTACAGTGATTATGCATATTACGAATATTAATTAATTCATACGAGCAAACAGGGGGGGTCTTTGTATTTAGATACACCTGGTAACAGGCAACCACCGCCGCATATGCGTGTTAACGCACAATGTTCGCTAGGGGAAAAGGCCAATGCCGCGCGGTTATAACCTTTAGCTCCCGCGATATTAAATTAATTCTCTTCATTAATTAATGACAAAAGTAAAGGGAGAACGCCGAGTATAATCTATACCGAGTTAACATCTTAGTTGAAATTATTTAATTCCATTTAACTGCTGTGCTCTTTACGCTCTGCCGTATCGTAATGCAAATTGGCTTCTATTAGAAGTCTGGTTATCGTAAGTAAAGTCCGATAAATCGGGGATCAGAAACGCGGGGGGATAAGTCGACAGGGGGTGTTCGGATCAGCATAGAGCGGAGACCGGTAGAAATGAAGTGCACATAATATTGGTATTAGCATTAGCGTTCACAGGAATCGGGCGGCGCTATCGATCGGCGGCTCACGCTCGCGATATCCGCAATGTTGTATGTATAAACAGGATTACCGCGTGCGCCCCCCCCCCCGCGATATCCCCCGGGGACCACCCCCCGTGGACTTTCATGGAGCTATCTCTATGCAGATTGCGCTATCGCCGCGCTCGCAAACCGAAACAACGGCGCCAAGACGTGACGTGCTCGAGGAACCCGGCTAAGTTTAATAAGATTAAGTGGCGACGGGAGTGCGCGCAAAGTTGCAGCTTAACAATGTTGTAAGTAATGCATATTGATCGTTGGTTTAGATAGTTTGACTACTCGCCGTTTGCCCACCGAAACTACCGTAGTTTGCCGCCGCTCGTGAACACGTTATATCGCAAATAGTCAAATCTTTAGCACTTCGGAAATTTTTACAATTCAGACACGCGCGCGTGTCCGTCGATTATACTGCTCGTAGAGACGTTTCTTGGGCAGGCAGTTTATCTAACTATCGTTATCGATGATTATTATTTCGTAACTCTTATCGTCTAAGTACTGTAGTTGGATGATAAAAATAATTAATGTCTTTTCTTATCGGATAAAAGTAATTTATATACTTGCGATGATACTTCACATCGACAAGTCAGTTGACTGAAAAGAAGATATTTTAATCTTCGATTCCAATTTTACGAATTAAATTACTTTGGATGACGAAATGCTTATAGGAGTCGATGGGCAATAAATTCGCGATGCTGATATTAAAAAGCCGCTCAAAAATGCATAATTGAGGTTTGTATTTTTGATGTACGAAATATCAAATGTTTTATACAACAAGAGGAATTAATTAATTAACTTCGCCAGTTCTCACAATGTCCAGCCACTTGTCTATTATCTCCGTGCGATTTTGCCGTGGGAGCATTGTGTTCCACTCGTTGATTTTCTCGCCGAAGACCAACGCGGAGTAATCCTCAATGACCGTTAATATGCATCTTTTGAAAACCACTGTGACTACTTTAGTCACGGCGTTCAGAAGATGGTCCAAAAGATGACCCTCGAATTTTATGTCGTATCTCCTGCGAAGGAAGACGAGAGTAAAGAGGAAATTGTCATGCGAGCAAAATTCGCTTGTGATATGCTTGTGTCAAATTGTATGTCAAGTTAAATCTGTGTGATAAACTTGCGATTCGCAAGTCAAGTATTTAGATCAACATTTCATAACAACCAGTAGCACGAAGATACCGCGAGTTCAAGTGTTGATAACAAAACTATTATAGAAAATCTGTATCTGAGTGAGGTATATATCTTGAAAAATCTAGGATAAAGTATGATTAAGAATTTTTACACGGTGATTATTGTCGTTTCTCGATTATCTGAATTTGTAACTTTGGATATCGGACCGTGTTATTATCTGCTTATCTACTGCATTGTTCCGCTACCGCACCTGTTTAATACCCGTTTAATTTCGTCGTTGCGAAAACAACTCACTGCTATCATCAATCAATGGAATGTAATGTACGACACCGAAAATTGATTAAATATTTGACGTCAAGCGATCGATTTACGCGTAAAATCCCTACGCGCGGTCTTTCACGCGGGCAAGTAATAATGAAGGGAATATAAGAAGCAATATTTACCCGACATCAGTAAGTTTGATGGAGTCGAGAATCAAGATGTACTCATTTAGATCGACCGTCACTACGACATTGGTATTAAGTTGGTACATACGACCGTACACATCACCTTGTCTCTTGTATAATAAATGCGTAAGAGAATACTGGTAGCTAAACTGCGAAAATTATAGAAAAATATAATTTTAAAGGTATATATACGCCTTCTATAAAGATAAAGTAGTGGCCTTTTAATATTTGACCTGTTTTTTATAGCTGAACTGCTGCACTAGTTCACAATTTAGCTTTCTCTTTCTACATTGGAAGAAGAAAGATAAACTCTGAACTAGTGTAGCCAGTTCAGCTATAAAAAACAGACCTATTAATTAGCATCACACTGTTTTGTTCTTACGTCCATAAGGTCAAATCCCAAATTCATATCCAATGTCAGGCGTTTGTCCTTATATATTGCAGTCACGTGTTCGGTGCGCTTCACCAGCGACAAGTTTTGCATCCATCCGTTCTTGAGGTCGATGTTTCCCTTGAGTTTCCATGGCTAAAGGTTTCCAAATATGATCAAAACAATACGTATTAATAAGTCTTATTTGTCTTATTATTTTATAAAGATAAACTTCGATTTATCAGTGTTTATTTTCTATAAAATTTAGCAAAGATTTTATTATTAGCTTCATTCTTATATACGTACCAAAAGTGGGAAAATATATTCAGAAATGTCGGCGATTTTCATAGGATCCATTCCTTTTTTCACGATGAACTCACGTATGGAAGGCAACAGAGCATCAACTGTCTTGTCAAGATTTGCCCTTATTTCTACATCTTCGGCAATTATACTGTAATTAAAATGCACGTTTCTTGGACGCTTAATTCACCAAATCGCAGTGTACTTTGTAATTTTTATAGTACGTGTATAATACAAAAACTTTAAATTTTTGAGAAATTGAATAAGTATATTTTATAATTAAAAATGAAAGGGGCTCATAGAAATAAAAATTTAAGTTATAAACAATTAGAGGGTAATTAACCAAGCTGGATGTACCTGCTGATTAAAATATATATTTTAATAAACGTTTTAGCATGTACATCCCAGCTTGGTTCTATTAGTTCTCTTATTGTTTATAATTTGAAGAAGTTTATTGTACAATTTTTTACAGTTATCGTAAAGTTAATAGCAAGTTGCAATATTGAAGAGAAAGAAAAATTCTTCCCCTCCATAAAACGCAGTGCGATGATTTAGAAACGACGAATAAAGTTACGAAACATAAATTAACTTACGGGCTCTGTTCGACTGTAAGAGGTGCACTATGCACCATGCACGCTATGATCGCCGAGAACAAAAACAATTGTATTTGACCGGCCATGATTGCGCTAATAATTCAACTACGGAAAATATGACGGTTTCTGTCATATTTATTGTCCATCTCTCATCTCTGATTGCGTCTTATCGATTTGATAATATTCTAAGCGGTTAGATATCACGAAACGCGGTTAAAAGAGCGATTTATAGATTTTTCTTTTTATCGATATAACAGCCTTACCGGACAGTAATACTGCAGTATCAAAATTGCAGTACGTACAAGAAATTCTCATTATACCGAATATGAAATAGATTCATATAGGTTGCACTTATAAATAAATGTAATAAACATTTAAAAAAATGAAATATATTTATAAATGTATAGTACAATATAAAATTACATGCAAAATATTCATATTAAGAAATGAACAATCGGTTTTTTCATTCATGATTACCGATTTTCGAAAACAGGAGTTTCTTTGTTTCTGCCGCATTTAATTGATTTATCTCATCAAGATACGTTCGAATTGCATTCGCCGCTTCCTTCTCGATGACATTCGTAATCGTGCTCTTAAAAAACGGAGTTACGATATTGACGATGAATGTATTTATCCAATCCACCATTCCGTTCTTATTTTCGACTACGATTTTAATGCTGCTGCAATGATATAATGCATAATTGAGTAACTAAGCTCACGCGAGATTTCTTCACGGGTAATATAAACATAGAAAGACGTATGCAGGATTCTACAATAATAATTTGCGATTAATACACATTACCTTGGAACTTGTAATTTGAATTTGTTGAGAGATAAAATGTTACTCGTTGTGTTGAACGTGACGCCAATTTCAGCGTGTACGTTTTCCGTTGAAGCTATAATGCGGCCCTTCAAATTGACGAGGACCAGTTTTACGATGAAATTGTATGTTCCCTGAATATAAAAGAAAATTATTTACTGCAGAACAGAATATTAAAATAACACGTAATATAATATACAGGTGAACGTGCTAAATAAGATAATCTTACTCGGTACGTTTCTTATTTTGAAGAGGAGAGAACGGAAAGACTACCTGTAAAAGTTTAAATTCGAACCCAACGTCCAGGTTTAATACTTTCTCTTCGTAACTCACAGTAGCGTCGCCGTAACGCTTCAAGTCGGACAAATGTCTCAATGTTCCTGAGTTCAAAACGAGATCGGCTTTGTATAACATTGGTTCGATCTGCTTTGAAATGTCGGTGTGCGCGAATCCCTGGCGTGAAAATTAAAATAATAGCTGTCATGTTGTGTCTTAATAAAATCGTCGACGATACAATTCCTTCGTTATCGCAATCCGGTTAAGCTCTCGGTTTTATCAGAAGTTAACGAAATCACGAGCGCGGGCGATGTGGGCAGTTGCGCAAGACGTATAAGATTTCGTTGCTTATCGTCGCAAGCTGCATTATCTGTATGCACGTTCCAAAATAACGAGATTGAAACGCGAAACCAAGAACAATGTATACGCTTTATCGACGATGTTTTACAAACACGTCTCGCCTGCAGTGGCACGATTAACAATGATCTGGACATACGTTTTAGATTAATCAAATTAATTAATAATTGGCTCTTGAATATAAGATTACTTTTTATGCGAATAAAACGCGAGTAGAGTTTATCTCTACTATAATAAATTAATTAATTATTACTTCTCCCAAATAAAGAAAAATATATATATAGTATATGAAGATGTTTGCAAACGTTAAAACTGATAATATAACTTTTAACGTTGATCAGAAAACTTCGTAAAATCATAAAATATTTAATGTTATTTAATATTATAAAATATTTACTATTCTAAAAAGTATTTTATTCCCAATTTTCAGCTCTCACGAAAAGCCTTCGAAATCTTTTTCCCTCTGCTTGATACGAACTTATTCAATTTCATGGTACTACCGTAAGATAAATGGCTTAATTCACAGCCGGCACGATCCGGGAAGAGTTTAAGGCACTTGCGCCGAACGGCGGCATTGAACTTGAGCCCGAGCTCGTCTTCTACCTCGATTTACCGAGTGAAACCTTGGTTTCACTCTCGTCCAAGTTCAAAGCTATCGCGTCGCTCTGCAGCCTTCGAAGCGTCAAAAATGGGATCAGCGAAAACGTTGGTTTGACCTCGGCCGTTCGACCGTGATCCACCTCCGGCCCAAGGTCAACGCTCGAAAGTGTCATCCCGGGATTCACTCTCGCTCTCATCCAAGGCCCAACTCTTCGGTTTCGCTTTCTACGGCCCCGAGGTTAAGCGCGCGCTCGCTTTCGCATCGCGGCCCGCTGACCTCGAATCCCGGCTCCGACCCCGAAACCCAGCTTTCTCCCGATTTTCGAGGCAACCTCATCGCGATTGTGAGCGAACGTGAGCACGTTTTACTGTAAATAACGGACTCTCTTACGTAAATGACTGGCTTCCCGAGTTATTACTGGATTCACGAGGTATTACTGGATTCACCGCGCTGAACCTCAAGCTTATGATTTATTATTGAACCTCCGCACTTTCGCGAAGAAAGGATTGTAACGTGTTACAGCAAATATTTGCTATCTAATCGAACGTAGTTAATAACCAAAATATCAAATAATTTCGCGATTTAATCGTTCTTTTTATTTTAAAAATTGAGTAAAAATGTTACGTACATTCCATAATTTTGTCTCAGTGTCTGGGAGATTGAGCGGGTCCAGGCCATGATCCAGAATAAATTCCGAAATTTTTGGAATCAAACGATCCACTTGTTCATTTATATCAGCTCCCGAAAATTTATCGTCAATAATATTTCTATAATTTGAAAATTACCTTTATCATGATTTAAATTTATTCCTATTTTTTAATAATATTAAAAAGAAGTTAAATTGATAATATGCAAAACGAACTTTGTACAGCGAAATAGAAGAGTTAATAAACAAAATATAAACAATTATTGGATATAACATACATTTAGAAGATATACATTTCTAAGATAGATATTTAAAACAGATTTTTTTCTAGATGCAAAAGAATTGACGTGGAAATATCAAAAATTAAAGATAAACTTAAAATAATAAAATTGAAAAGTTAAAATAGTAATATTAATATTTAATATCAGTTAAATATTATTGTACACTTACAGAGTTCCTAACTCGGGCCTGGCCGAAGCCAAAGAGATAAATACCAGAACAATGTACACAAACTTCATGGCCATTGCGACGAGACTATTTTAAATTCCTATGGTCATATCGCTTTTATAAGTTCCTCAAATAAATCTGATAATCGGATTATTAAGCGCTCCTTTCTTTTCGTTAATCTTGTCATCAATCAAAAAGAGTACATTCCTTTGATTACATTTATCGCTTTTTATCGCAGTTTAAATGATGAAAGAATATAAAGAAGAAAGGAAAAACAGACAATGTTATCAGAAATACCTAAAATATACAATAAAAATATACCATGTCAATATAAGACGCAGTTTTAATGCATGCAATTGCATTACGTGTCGTCTGATCTGAATATTATTTCACAGAACTGTTGGTCGTTAAAGTTTCAGAATAGTAGGGAATTTATTTGCAAGGAATACAACTATATAAAATTTATACCTTTTATTTATCATTTATATTAGACAATTACTCTTAAGTCAAAAAATTTCTTATCTTGCTAAATTAGAAGTTCGAACTACTAGATTCTAGCAGCTAGAATGTCTAGAATTTTGCGCAGCAGAGAGTTTGGAAATATTGTTTGTTTGTACCGTTTTAATCCGTCTATTATATATATTATTATATTTCTACCTTTAACAAGGTAAAGTCGATCTCTACCGAGAGATTTTCGACGTTCGTTATCGACGCAGAATCCACCTCGTTACGTGGCGCTCTCTGTATCACAAAACTCAATACAACATTCACGAGGCGAGTTGCGTATATTTCACGTGCACGTAATTGTAAAATTTAATTAGAATATAATATTTCACGAATTCCTTTTTTCCCGTTTTCAATATTCGATTTCGACGACGAATTGGAATGCAAGTTGCATTGCGAATGCTGATTTAAGGAGAGAAATCTCAGAGATTTTACTTTTTGATTTTTTATTAAAAAGCTTTAATCAAAAGAAATATTTTCCTGTATAATGTCCCCATAGTTAAACATTTCTAGTATAATATAGTTAAACTGTATAGTTAAATATTTCTACAAGTTAGAAGATCATTTAACTTTAATGTTCTGTCATTTTATTTAAATCATTACACGTGTTATTTATTTGCATAATTTCTATATTATCCATTTTTCATATTTATTATTTCCTAAAATATTTTGCAATAAAAATTGTACAGGTGTCATACACGTTTATCGAAGCGAACAAAATATAGAAATTAATTCTTCGTTTAATGACACGTTTCTTAATACCGGAAGCGGCGTAATGAAATGGTAATTTTGCAGTTGTCGGTTATGTCTAGATATTATTCAGAATTCTTTCGTCAACAATATATTTTATCTCTTTCTACATCTTTATTTTTTATTTTTTTCAGATTCCTGGCACGGGCGCCGCGACGCACCAGGAAGCAGTCGCGGAGTGAAAAACATTCTTGTTTGTCGGCCCTGGCGGATTCGTCCTCGACGAATCGTTTACGGCCGGCCAATCGCAGCTCGAGGAAAAGTAGGTGTATATTGTGACGTATATCTTTACTACTACGCTTTAATTACGAAATCTGATGCGTAAGAGCGCGCGCATCACGCGATTAAACGTCGGCATAACTGAAGCAACTGTAACTTTACGCGTGCATACAATGGAGATCTGTTTTACATTGACGGTAATTATTAATAGAATAGCACTTCTTGATTTGATTACAACGTCGTTTTGCTCTACGCTATCATATTTCAATAGCAGACAGACACTTCAAGGTATAATCAAACCCCAACTGTTTAATCATTATTTTACGTATCTTACTTTCTTACTTTCAATATTATACTTTATTACCTCGATATATAAAACTCTATTAGCAACGCTAAATTTTAATAGAACTGTATTTTCTTACATCACAGATATGCTAAGACATTACTGTGCTGTATATCTTAATAAAAATTAATAACTTTGTCTATTAAGATTAACAGATGTTACATCTTAATAAAAATTAATAACTTTGCCTAAAGATTAATAGACGCTTCATCAAATAAAGAAACACCTTTAAATTAGCGAACACTTCAAATATTTCGTGATAATATGCAAGTCTGAGTTTTTCTTTGTCTCTTTAGACAAAAGCAGAAATACTTTTTCGTGCGCTATCGCGACATACTTTCTAAAGGATAATTGTTCGAAATAACACGAGAGGAATTCGTTTGGGTAATCGAGATGCTCCATCGGCGGATTACCGCAACGCGGACGGCGGCAGAAGAAGCGCGCATTGCTTTCTCCTTCTGTGCGGTTGAACGATCGAGGTCGTTGAAGAGAAACCCGCGCGTTACTCTTGTTACTCCATTTTCGCCTTCGGGAGGAACTCCTACGGCCTGCGGATACATGTGGTCGCTGGTAATTGCACTCGCGATGTCCCAGGGTCGGCGACCCCGCGAACGGCCGTGACGTAAGGCAGGCCATCTGCTCTCCGTCGCGGAAAGGGATATCGCGAGAAAGTTTCGAGTCTGCACCGCCGATGTCCACCTTCTCCAGGGGAAGATGCACGTACGAGGGGCTCGGGGTAGAAGATCGACACAGACATATTATAGCAGGTGCTGTCGCTGATGCATAATTTTTTGTAGAAACTTATTTAGTGTATTTTTTTTTAGCGAGAAACCGCGAAATTTTCGAAAGCCAAAAGATCTGATCTCGAAGTCAGGAACGCGAAGAATTTAAGCACCAGGTATACTGTAAGATGAGATGATTTTTAACGCGAACGCGATGACATCCTCTATTGTATTTTTATTCAGTCGATATTTCTGGAAAAGAGCGTGAGGAGGCACTTTAATCCTTTTGTACGACGATCAATGGTCAAGTTGAGTGCCTTTCTCTATCAGCCGGCATATGTCACGCGATGTCGGAATCTTAATTAACGCGGATGGCCAACGGAGGTTCCCACTATCAGCTGTTTTAATACGCCACGTATATCGCGAACACGCTACCTGTTTCACTTATTAACCGTTCAACGAATTAATGTCAGTTGCATAAATTTTTAAGTGGGAAGAATGAAAGAGGCATTTTTTTTTTTTTTTTACGTGTATCCTGTTTTTCGAACCGGTTCGCGCGAGCTATCGAGCGTGAACGTAAACGCGTATATATACGTACGACAGTTGCCGCTTGTTTTCTTTGTATTACGTGGTTTGAATTACGCAGCAGAAATTGTAACAAGTCAACAATCCCCCGTATATAATTTCTTATTATCAACCGACGAGCGAGACGTTGGCTCTCTTGTTGTGACTGCACAACAACTCTGATAACGATTGCTTTGTTCAGCTTTGTGCGTCACCGATAAAAAGAGTTTAATGGTAATTTTTACCTCTATATTCGTCTCTGGTAAACAAAGCAAAGTCGAAGTGCCGTCTCGATTATTATGATTAACGGCACGGTAAATTTATATATATATATATATATATATATATATATATATATTATATATATATTTATAAATGGACAAATTTTTTCACGTGACATTTGCACGATCCTCTTTTACGGGATCTGTTTTACGGGACTATTGCTAGTATTTTTAACAAAGCGAAATCGACATTTCTCTCGAGTCACAAATATTTATTCCGACGAGTGATAATATAAAGAACGCTTAGTATATTATCATCGGCGTTTATTTGCGATATAATAGCCCATAATTGGAACTGAACGATAACATCGTGCAAGTCACGCTAATGTATTTCAAAATAGTAATTACATAAATATGTGGCTTCATGCGAGAGACAATTGAAATGACGCAAATATGTTTACCGATCCACCGATGGATCGCACATTTTAGCGATTATCCCCAATGATCCCTAATGTAACTTTCACCTCGCGCTGTTATGTAATGTGCGTACGGTGTGACGTTGCCGCAAAAAATGCGTGGTGCACACGTCTTAACTTCATATCGTTTCTTCACGATTGAAATATTATTATCTTTTTCTATTTCAAACCGGAATACTGAAGAATTTGCACGCGTTCTTGAAATTCAAAAATTCGAAAACAGTATTTCACAAGAGTAAACGATCTTATATCATAGCTGTTATTACGACATCAAAATGATGGGCCGATACGGAGAGGCAAGAAAAAAAACAAGTCAGTCCTTGAGTACGACTTAAAACGTAACGTATAAGGAAACAAAAAGGAATTGAATTGACTAGTTGCGCTGTCGTGGCTTGAAAATTTAGGTGATATACTAATTATTTTGAGAATTATTAAAAATAATATAGATAAATCAAGGCATAGAGAGGAAATATTTTTTTATATGCATGTAATCAAATTACAAATATAGTTATTCGGCACGTTGTTAATTCGTAATTTTAAGTTAAATTATTAGCGATAGACTAATAGTAAATATATTTTTAACAATTCATTTTTTAAAAATGACGCGTTATTCTGTATTTTTCGAAAGAAAAATAGTCCGAGAAATGACGGTACGTAAAGTTATCTCATGTCATTAGTGATAACAGCTTTCATAAAAAAAAAATAGTGTGGTAAGTGCATTCCTCCATTCAAGACGTACTCAAACGTTATCGCGTGTAGCTTTGAAAAATTCACTCTGATCTATTGGGTGAGGGAGCGTCAAAACACCTTACGAGGACGCACAATAATTGGCTAATCGCCGATGGCGTGGTCTCACGAAAAAATGTTTTTCGGCACGTGGCTAATCGCGCGATACGGTTCGGTGCCACTCGTCGATCTAGGCCAACGATCTTCACGCATTTTGCTTTCTTTGGTCTCCTACATCGTGGCAACGGAGGCTCGCTGGTCCGACCCGTTAACGACCAATCGCCGAGCTCGTCCTCGTATACGAAACACATCGCGTGGTCTCACCACCTCGCACGTACATACACACTCGTCCAGCGAGTGCGTACACACGCGTGTTTCGTGTACAGAGTGACGCGGTCGTCCGTGAACACACACAACTTTATGTAACCCTGAATAGATTAATCTGTAGAGTATATAGAACACTTTTATATATAATTGAATTTAGCAAAATAGCTAACAATAAAATAAATAAGAAAATTAAAATTAAAATAAAATTCAAAGTCAAGGCTCCAAATTAAAATAATATTAATAAATGAAGTAAAAAAGGGCCAACGAGCCAAAGCTTGGGTGTTGTATCGCTTCAATATATGTATATATTTATTAATTTAATAATTTCATTACGATTTGAAGAACAGACGTTTCGACCCCAAACGGGTCATTTTCAATGTTACTCTAAATTAAAATATCTAAATTGTAATGAAATTGTTAAATAAATAAATATATATATTGAAGCGATACAACATCCAAGCTTTGGCTCGTTGGCCCTTTTTTACTTCATTTATAAATAAGAGAAGCTAAGCTAGAAATAAAGTTAAGATAGAAATAAATCTCTATTTCGCTAAAAGAGAGAAAGAGAGAATTAATAATATATAAAAAAATGAATATAAAAAATTGACATTATTACGTGTTAATATATATATTAATGCAATAATTGTTTATATTGTATGTATATTTAAAGAAATTATTGCATCTTTATATACACATTTCAAAAGTATCCCGATATAGATATAATATTTTGAAGCGAAAGGAACGAATCTTATCAGCATTCGCTCTCGATCAATCGCTATCTCGAATTTTAATGGCTAGTCGCAAATCCTTTCCGCACACCCCGTACATAGCGGGCATATATTCCCAGACAGTTTCCGTCACGACGATAAACTTCGGACCGCGCTCGCCTTGTGGTTTCAGTTTGTTTCAACTGCTCGTACGAGTCGGACGTGTTTACGCACCGCTCGCGCGCTCCTTCGCACGCAACGTCAGTCACACGTATATACACGCGCACACACGTACGTTTGCGCACGTAGACCCGATTCCGCGACTGGTTCGTGACGATAAACTTCGGAATCGCTTCTTCGAGCGCAGCCGCTCTCGAACGCGGTGGACACATTTTGAGAAAAGCTCCCGCAAGTCGCAAGCGTGTGTTCGTTCAAGCCCGATCGCGCCACGTGCTCGCGCGTTGCACTTCGACCCCATTTTTCTCCAAGGTGAGTAACGTAACGTTTTCAGTATTTGGCAGAAAAGTACTAATTTGGCATGGATACAGCAGCGTTTGCTGTTTGATCAGGGAAATCCCAATTGCTTTTACAATGAAGGTTTCTAGAAGGCATCTCTCAGAATTAAGCGAAAGAAGTCAAAGTTCATTGTGTTTGAAGTGATTCTATGCTCCTTTCTAATTTTGTTCCCAGAAAGAGACAGTGTAACGATTAAACTCCAATTAGCTTTAGCTTGCGTGAACGGGGCCAAGTCGTGTACGGATAAGTTTCATTATTTTATGATCTCATCTTTTACATATAAAATCCTGTATTGACGATAAAAGGAAATTCGCGAAATTTATTCGTCGTCGTTATTCCAGGATATTAACTGTTTACATGGTCATATCATTTAAATAAATCCGCATATATCTACATCCTTGATGTCAATTATTACCCAGAGACGAAGATCGTTTATTAACCGTTTCCGAACCGGGAATCATGGCAGCAAATGTTAATGTGAATCAAGGTTGAAAAATCATTTATTTAATCACCGAGAAAGATAATTCTCTGAATGCACTTATCCCTAAGTGAATGCCATAAATGCAAACTTGTTTGCGTCACATTTTTAAATTTATTCGCTTTTTTTTACTTTAACATTTTTTTAAATATTTACGCGCGTGAACGTGGAACTTAATTCTGTTAAGATCAATACTTATAGATGATTAGCAATACAAAAGAAAAATTCTCTCTGTTGAATCAAAGACTGTCAAAAATTTCTGAAGTTATAATACGCAAGAGAGATTCGTCGGAAGAAGTTATGCAAATGTTCCCGACGAATGTGCCTATACAGCCTGCCTATAGAATCACCGTACGCAATTCATCGTGTCAATCAGCGAGCTTTGAGCTTGCTCGCGGAAGCTCGCCGCTTCTCTCATTTCGATGACCACTCGATGCGCGCGCAGTCCAAACTCGTTGATTCGATGACGCCAATGCGAAAGCACATGAGTCAGTATGAGGGGAAAACATGTTTACACTGTGCTGCGTAATCATTGATGTTGACTGTTGTCGTGTTGATCATTTTACCGGCATAATAGATTACGACGCAAGTGCTACGCGAATTATACGCAATAGAAGCGTGTTTGCGAGTACTTTGTATTCATATCAAGGTATCACAACAATTTTGCAAGGTATAATTCAACGATACGACAAATAACGAAAGAAAAATATTTTTTCACAGTTGAATATCTCGGAATTGTGAATCATCGAATATTCCAATACTCGAGAATTTAATTTTTCTTGTTCATTAGATTCTCTCTTTCTTTCTTTCTCACTGTAGCAAAAAATCTATTCGTTGCTTTTATTAAATCGTAAGCAAAAATTTATAAAAATAAAAAATGGTCATTATATTAATGTTTTGTTAAAATTTTAATAATTGTGATAAACTGAAATCTCTTGCATCTCTTGGATGCAATTTTTCGATAGCATTACGCAATTAATCTCGTACGATGATTGCAATATAATAATCAGATTTAGAGCATCTCGGGGGGGGGGGGGAAGGAATGAATAGAGATCAAAGATTATAGAAAATTTTCTTGCATGCACTTATTGCATAACGTCTTCATTACCTGCAATGCTGCTTCGGGGGAACCAGCCTCGTGTTTCCTCCGCTTTGATCTTATTTCGGTGAGAAGCGCTGAATCAGCGAAGCTCAAGGCTATCACGAGTGACATGCCAGACTTTATATTCTGAGAAGCCTGGGTCACGAAGAGCTTTTATTTGCACAAACGAGACGAGTGAAAGATCGGTGTATACAGAAGTAAAAAAATATTCTTTCGTAAAAAACGATACGGAAGCTGTTCGGAATTAATTGATATACTATCTCTACAGATGAGGCTGCAGTTGACATACTTTGATTAACTGTCAATAAATATATACTGCTCAGCGTTTGAAAAAAGTCGTTATAAATACTTGATATATAATGAATGTCGAAGGAGTCGAGTAAAAAGGTTAAAAATGAATTTATTTTTGAGACTTTGGTATTATCGAGTATTTATTCAGTTTATTTTATTTCTTTTTTTTTTGTTTCATTCCGGCCTTTATTTCAAGAGTTGAAATTCTGTATCCTCTTCGCGCGAAATTGATAATTTCGCATGTCCCGACTGTGAATACGTTTGAAAATAAATGGCCACTTCATTGTGCGTTCAGTGCCAGGTCCACGGTCAAAGAAATTTGCTCACCTGGACGAAGGCCAGTCCCCTGTCGCCGCGGTCGTCCCTCTGCCACGTGCGGGTATTCTACTTTTGAAATCGTAGGTCGGCGATGTCGGTCACGCGAATCCATTTCGATCTCAAAACAACGGGTCACGAGACTCGCTGTTTTCTCTCGCTTCCGCGATAGCGTACCGCGGGAGCATCAACAACACGAGATGTTGACTGTTAGCGAAATAGAATTAGTTTCCAGTGTGTATAAAGGCGAGGTATAAACTGAAGAGAGAGAGAGAGAGAGAGAGAGAGAGAGAGAGAGAGAGAGAGAGAGAGAGAGAGAGAGAGAGAGAGAGACTTGGACGAAGGTGTATAATCTCGAAATCAACGTGGAACTGAATAACCTAGATTATACTCGGAAACGAGAAATATGCCAGCAAAGAGCTCGAGCATACAAATGCAGATAAATTCACCTTCGCGTGAATATGATGTCATGTTATTAAAACGAGACATGAGAACTGTGAGGAAGAGAGAAAGAGAGAAACTGCTTCTGACACCTTCAATTTTCTCAAGAGATGAAGCAAGCAATCGCACACTCAAGTAATTACATCTAATTACCGTGTAGATACATCATTATAGACACGCGATTAACATCAACTGGATTTTCGCAACATTAACGTCAGAAAAGAAAGCTACACGTTACCGCTGCAATTTCGCGGACAAATCGGACGCCAATTTCGCGTAGGTACTCGTTACGCACGCAACGAGTATTTTTACCATTTTCCGGATTTTCGCGAGAACCAGTCGCGATAGGCGATTTAATCGTTTTTATATACGCGACGTCCATTATGGGCAGCGCGATTTTTAGCAGTGGATTAAACACGCGGCTCGCGGCTATTTAGGTATTTTATCGATCGATTGAATTACTTTCGCCGCAAGCCGGGCTCTCTGTCTTTCCCGCGCGCGAGACGATCGTGCGTGGATTGCAAAATGCACGTCGAACAAAGTTACGTAACGTTAAAATGCCACGAATAAATTGGGAAAATCGAAAAAATTGCGCGGCACGTCACGCCGGTCGCCGCGGCCGTTGCTCGGAAAATTAGCCTGTCGAAAAGCCCGCTCCGTCTGCCGCGGCGATATACTTAAGTCCCCCGCGCGTGCAACACGCGATGATACGAACGATGATTAATCGCGAGAGATACCGGCGACACAGTTAATCACCGGTGCATGCTTGTCGAGTGATTGCACGGGGCAACGGTCGGTGGAATTAATTTTCGCGATCCCGACGGAGGTATCTTAATTAAAGTTCGCACGTTTTGCAACATACTGCGAATCGTGCGATCTACATTTTATAGGTACAGTATGATTACAGAGCCGCGAACTTTTACGGTCAGTGAGCCGCTAGTAGCAGTTTATTTATTTTTATTTTCGAAAAAATACGTTTCGCGTTTCAGAGAATCAAAGTCTGTAGAAAATTTAATTGTAATTTTATTATTTCGTAAGTAAATTTTTTTTTAAGTTACTTGCATTAGTAAGACAAGACACAAACTTGACAAGACAAAGATAAGACTGTAAACTCGACATCGACGCTTATTGTGTCGCGATATCTTTTTTATGATTAAATACAAGTGCGACTTTGACCGGCTCTGAGTAAACGATGATTCACGACATGTCAAAGATAAAAGGCACCTATTTTTATTGCCACGTATTTACATGTATAAAAATTGCTCGGGGCAACGGTCGGCGGTACTAATCGCCGTCGAGATCGCGGAATTAATTTTCGCGATTTCGACGGCGGTATCTTAATTAAAGTACTGCAAATGATGTGATTTACATTTTACAGGTAGTACATTTATAAAGTCACGAATGTTTTTCTTCCATAAAAGTCTCTGCCACAAGAAAAATCTATTTTTTAAAGTGTGTTCTCAAGGCTCTTGATTTCTTCTCGAATTTAAAAAAATCAATTTATAAAAAATTGTTTTTTTTTTATATATATACATATAAATTTATTCCCTTTTTCGTATCTTAATGACTTTATTTATGGGATTATTTTACTTCCGTTATCAGCGTTGCGGTAAATAATATTTATGACAAAGCAACAAATCGATTCGCTTGAAAACGATCTTCTTTTATATAGCGCCGACGCTTTAACAATGATTTGTCGCATGCGGGACTTCAAGGTTTCGCGTTTTGGACATGTCTCGCGGGAGTTTTGGCTGTTTGCCCGAACAGCTTCGGTAAGTCAGCGCAATATATTTGCGATTTAAGCAGACAGATAAGGTTACGTAATAAAATCGTTGGGAGACGTCACGGGTCAGTGCACCGTGGTACCTACGTAAAAGAAAATATCTGAGAACGCGGGCCTTATTCGATATCGGCCGATACCCCGGGGGGGAGGGGAGGGTGAGTTAAAGGTTCGCGTGCTTCCGACAATTGCCGATTCGTTTAACAAGAACAATCGCTCGCCTTCGCCGTTTGGCCGTAGACATGACAGCAAGTTCTCGTTATAGGCGGTCGTCCAAATGTCTAAATTTGCATTTCGTCCCGTTCCCGAGAGAGGAGTGTAAAGTGCATTTCTTCGATCATGCTTTCGATGCTTTGATTACTCGCGTGAGCATAACGAACTACGTCATGGCATAATCTGTGTTGCAATCGTTGTTCCATTACCTTACTTCGTATTTTATTATCTTACGAACAGTGGCGAATTTCACGAGCCTGAAATGCGACGTATGTATTATTACAGCTACGAACTGTACGGCTGGCATTCATAGTTGCTTTTTATTTCAAGATCGTTTTAAGTAATGTCTTAAG